TTGCACCAAAAAACGCCCCTCGGAAGCACGTGCCCATTGCCGAGTCCCCGGTACCGTCCTGAGAGGTCTCCCAGCCAAGAATTTATTTATTGCCTCAGCTCGCACATCTCACTGGGTCTCAGGGGATACGACTGACTTCAGCTGGGTTAGAATGCCTCGAGTGAGAAGCCGTCCGTCTGTCCTGTCACCAGTGAGACTCGTGGACCCACAGCGTGAAGCGCCTGGGCGAGCTGCAGACGGGGCCGCACGCCGCCTGCGTTCGGGAGCTTTGGGGTAGGGTCTGTATTTTACAAGCAAGCAGAGAACCTCTGTGATGTGTCTGTGGGGAAACACCACCGAGAACATGATCAGCTCTGTTCACGGACGTGATTAGCTCCGTCCTTTCACCTACAGCTGCGGGAAGCTCTGCGAGAAAAAGGGAAGTGACCCCGATTATCCGAAAATGCAAATGCCCCTCTTTGTTTCAAAGTATTAAGACTACGCTCAGGCTCTCTGCATCCCCCCGAGGCTCTGCCTACACATGTGAAACACTTCAGGGCCACGTCAATCTTGTTCTCAAGGAAGATGCCATAAAACAGGCTCAGGGAGACCCACAGGAGGTTCCTCAGCCTCTGTCACCTGGTGAGACCCGTCCTCGCCGGCTGGAGGAAGCCAGCACGAGCGCGACGAGACGCAGTCACCTCCTTTGGCTGCAGACTCGCTGCGGGGGAGCCTCAAGTGCAGAAGAATGAGAAGTCAGAGAAGAGCTGTTGGGTGTTTGGGTCAGGGTTTTTACGACACAGTTCACAGCGAGCTCAAGTGATCGGAAAGGAAGGAATTAGCAGGGAAATTCGGTGATTCAGAGGGTGTTTTACTGCGGGCCAAAGCAGTTCATGCTGGCTGATGGTTTAACCCCTGCTGGGTTTGCACAGCTGAGTATTTCGGGGCAGAGTTAATGACAGCATCCTTCAATGCTCAGGGCTAAGGGGTGATGGTGACTGAATCTACACCTCCCTCCTTCCCCAAGCCCCAGACCAGCAGGCGGAAGGCTTGTGTGGGCTGAGGGAATCTGTTCGGGGAAGCTGTAGACCAGCGCAGAGAATACACAGGACAGAGAGAAGGGCCACAAAGACGCTCAGAGGGCTGGAGAACCTGCTGTGAGGACAGGCTGAGGGAGCTGGGGTTACTCAGCTTGGAGAAGAGAAGGCTCCGGGGTGACCTGACAGCAGCCTTCCAATCCATGACAGGGGCTACAGGGAAGCTGGAGAAGGGTTTTTTTTAAAGGATCTGTAGTGATAGGACAAGGGGCAATGGCCTGAAACTGCAAGAGGGTAGATTTAGATTAGATACAAGGAAAAAATTCTTCACCACAAGAGTGGTGAAGCGCTGGCGCAGGTTGCCCAAAGAGGCTGTGGATGTGCCATCCCTGGAACTGTTCAAGGCCAGGTTGGACGGGGCTTGGAGCAACCTGGGCTAGTGGGAGAGAGGTGTCCGGGCCCACAGCAGGGGGTTGGAACTAGATCATCTTCAAGGTCTCTTCCAACCTTAACAATTCTATGATTCCATGATTGATTCTATGATTCTGTGCTTCTATGATTCTATGATTCGCTGGCTCTATGAAGGAGCTGGCTCAGAGCATGGGTCTGAAGAGCTCTCCTGAGTGGGAAACCCTCCCGCCTAGCACTTCTTTAAATTTAAACAGACGTTTCCTCTCCAAAATGGAAATGGTGCTTTAAGAATGGGGTCTCCTTCCTGGGCACTGGCTCCTCCGATCCCGCTGACACCCCTCCTCCAGGAACACGAGCAGAACTCCCTCCCACCTCCGTGTCCTGCACGGGGACAGGCCTGGACAAAGGTGGGGATCAGAAAAGTAACGGAACATTTCTGAAAGCTGCAAACACACATCGTTGGAGGGCAGATTAAAAGCAACGAGCAGAAGAGAAGACCTCGATGGACAGAAGCAGTAAAGGAGCCTTCTGTTTCTGGACGCTTAGAAATGGAAGAAGTGCCTTGGATATCCTGGAGGACGGGTTGGAGATCCACAAGGGACCCATTTTTGAGGGAACTTAAACTTTTTCCGCTGCTTTAGTCAATAATGAGCACAGTTCTGGAAGTTGCAGCATCGGTGCAGGCAGCAAAGAGAAGGTCCTCAGTGGTAGCTGGACTTACCCGCAAAAAAGCTGCACACTTGATGAAAAAAGAGCTGGAAAAGGGCTGTGGGTTTTTTTTTGTTTTTGTAAGTCAAGACCAATAAATTTCTCTGTTACCTTACTATTTCTAGGAGACACCGCACTGAGCTCTATTCCCAGTTACCACACTGACACTGGAAGGAGCTAAAGGGCAGTAACCGAGGCAAAATCTTGAACAATCAATGCAAAAAGAAAAGAAAACAAACAAAAAACAGCCCTTTTCTCTACATGTTGGTGAGGTGCTGAGCCCACTCTACCCATTTACTTTGCTTCTAATAGACTTAAAGGCGGCCAAAAATTGGTTTAATGCTCTCTTAAGGCAGCTGGTCTAACATCGTTACGTTTTTGCCCAATCCAATTAGTGCAAATCCTAGTATAATGCTGAAAAATCTGACCTTGGGCATCATTAAATTGATGTGGAAGGAAGCCTGAGGCTGACTTGTGCCCCAGAGAAGACCCTCACCTTGGGATGAAAACCTTTGCAAACCATGCAGGGTTGCATTCCCCTCTTAATCACCGAAATACAGTTTCTGTTAGTTTAAAAAGCGGAGTTTTAAGGTTGCTTCTCCTGCTGTCAGCTGCTCTCTCGGGGTCTCTCCCTTGCCCGCTGCAGCGAGCGCTGGTTTAAAGGTTTCCTTTCCAAAGGCACGCCAGCCAGCTCCAGGGGAATCCTTCTGGGAGGTGTGGTACAACAGCGCATGAAATAAGTGGCAGTTTATACTGTTGGAAAAATGTTTTTCTGCTTCACCTCTAACAAAGCTGATTGCATTTTCCATTTCACCTCCTTCACGGCTTTTCTCTCTCCCTTAAGTATCCTGTGACAGGGAAATTACCATGCTTTCCCATTTCAGAGGTGGAGGGAACAACTGAGATAATCTAGAAACAAGCCTGTAAGAGGATCCACGGACACGGGAGCGGGGCTCTCGCCACGCCAGGTCGGGCTGTCGAGCCGTCAAGCCCTGCTGCAGCCACCGAGACCTGTCCCACAAAGTCCATCAACTTAAATAACAATTAAACTGAATGTAGTGAGTGTGTTCCTACTCCTAAGGGGCTTCGCTGCTTTCCAGGTAGACCTGATGCTCCAAAACCAACTTAAAGCCCCTTCCTGCAACCGACCTTCCTTCCCTTCCTGCAGCCCAGCCCCAAGTGCCTGACGAGGCTCTTGGCAAAACGGTTGTGGGTGTAAAATGCACGTAGCAAAGCTCAAACAAGAAGTCGCTAAAAGCCAACTCTCGGGAATTTCCTCCTGCCTCCTTTTACTGAGCAATGCCACCAGCTCCCTGCTCCGGCAGCCTCCTGCCTCTCTTTGGGACACGCGCACAAGACAAACCACAGAGTAAGAAAACTAAAGAGTTTTCAGCAAAACGTTCAGTGTCGGTACTCAATTTCATTAGAGACCAGGCTACGACTACCACAACGTGGGACAAAAGAAACAGAGCTACAGGTTTAATGATGCTATTTGCTGGTTTTTTTAGAGCTCGTGTCTTAAAACAACCAGCCTTCGCTTAACTTGATGCTCGGGCTGTGGCGGAATTTCTGTCTGACTCGAGGACTTCATCTCATAAAAAGAACTGCCAGCGTTACAGTCTGAGCTCCTTCTTCAGAACAGAAATGCTGACTGGGGTTTTAGGAGCTAATTAATCTTACAGCCAGACAAGTCTAAGATAACAGCCCCTCCTTTTTCAACTCAGAGAGAAAGAGAGAGAAAGAGAAAAGAGAGAAAACAAGAGAGTAATCGCTGTGTAAGAAGTGAGTACAGTGAGGTGTATTCTATTTGTCAGGGTGCAAGTCCAGTGACTGAAGTGGGAGCACTGGTAGGCATGCTCAGGCACCGTTGAACTGCGTCACTTAAGGACCGCACGGTACAATTATTAATTAATTCATAGCGCAATTAATTAATAATATAATTCAAGCAAACGGCAAATTGTCATTTAAACTGGTTTTGGTGCGGCCATCATGCAAGTCAAGATTCTCTGCTTTCCCGGTTGCCGTAAACCTCCGAGGCTGCGCCTGGGGCGAGCACGCTGGTGGCGAGGGGCGAGTCCGCTCCTGCCGGGGCTACGTGTGCGTCATGTAGGGTATTCATCCCTGGGCTCGTTTTCGGGTGTGTGCGTACTTTGAGCTTAGGAAATCTGGCCAGGAGAGCTTTTAGAGAACATCTCAGAAGACAACATAGGAAATTAGTAGAGAGGAGAAGACTAATGACAATGGAGAGACACAGCGAGCCAAGGAGCTTACGGTTGGCCCAGCAAACCACTACTGGACCAGCAAAGCCAGTAGATGACAAACGGGTGAGGCAGAAAGCAAAGAGCTCCTTCAACTTTTGCAAAAAAAACCAACCCAACGCCTGTGCAGAGCCGGGATGGATCTGCCTGGAGCTGACTATAGCCAAGAAGCGCCGAGGTCTCTCGACGCCCATTTAGAGGCTGAGTTGCACGACGGTACTTTGGTAACAGATCTGTGCGTCTACGACTTTGTGAAGCTTTGGGGGAACTCGGAAAAATAACCTGACTTTTGAAATTTAGCATGTAGCGTTTCAAAACCTGGAGCTGCACGAGTTAGCGTGAGAGATAATTAACGCCAGGCGAGGCTCTACAATCTCCAGCATGGCATTTCTTAGTCGGCTACGGCCTGCCTGGGTGGGCAAACGAATCTGACATCAGAGAGACAGAACGTCTTTACTAAGATATTTAATCTCCTAGAGCTGACACTACTGCGCTGTCCTTAAAAAATTACAGGTAGCCCCAGGAAACGTGAGCGTCCCCTTTCCAGAAGCGGGAAAGGGGCAGATCCCTCACCATCTCCGGTATTTTAGCCATCTTTCTGTCTTTCTTTGCTAACAAGAGGCTTCGGGAATTAGCAAAACCCCTGCACATCTCCGCACTCACTCCCACGTCAGCCTGAGATGAACAGCGGGGAGAGATTTCTGCCCCCCGGGGACAGCTCTGGACATCAGACTGGAGACACGAGATCAAATTCATCTCTGGTGAAATTCCACTGGCTTCCACCACGTTAGACCAGAGATTAATTTGGCCCACAGATACATTAAGAAAGGATACAAAGCACAAAACGGTATTTTATAAAATAAAAAAGAAAAGAGAGAAAGGGGAGGGGGAAATTCAAGGAGGACGCTGGATCCTAACCCAGCAGGATTCAGCCCAGCCCGCTCCACCCTCACATGACCAGGCACAGAGCGTGTTGCCGGTTACCTTTTTGCTTACTGACTTTCTTTACTGTCATTGCCGCTTGCCGCTTTTGATTTTCAGAAATCTCAAAGCCTGAAAAAAGGGAACACGGCAAACACAATTCAGAAAATTGCTTACGAAGCCTCGTTTTTCTTCTGGGGGGCGGGGAGGGGGGGAAACGTTCTGCGCCGTTTGGCAAAGATGGGACGCCCGACGTGGCAAAGCATCGCCCGGCGATATTTTACTGAAAATAAGTCTTCCTTGAGAGGACGAGCCCCCTCTATCATCTCGCTTGTGCAGGGGCTGCAGGAAAACTAAGATTAGACCCATTATTATTTATATAAGCTATCATAAACACGCCCAGTGCTTTACAGCCGAGCAACGTGAGCTGAGCCTGGTTACAGCCGATTTCTGGGCTGATGCTGAGGGAAGGGCACGGCCGAGCAGTCTCTGCCTTCGCCGCCCTCCTGCCCCGCGCCAGACGTGCTCAACTGGAGCCAAAATGACGCGGCCAGGAGACTCTGAAGTCAGATGGCCAAAGGTTTCCTTCTCCCACAATACCCACCGAGGTCCAGGCTTGAAGCTACGGGCAGAATTTACTTACTGAGGGCCAAAATGAACAGTAACTGAGTTGGAAATAGGCCTGATTATGACTGTGAGAACCAAGAAAGTTTGAGAAAAGGTTTAACTGTACTTCTACTCCTACTAGAAAAGTGGGCTTCTCCAACAACTGGGGCTAAATTAAGCATTACCAGTAATCTCCTTTCAGATTCATTTCGTATTCCTCACCTATCTTTTCATCTTCTTTTACCATCTTCCTTTCTTCTCTGAAAGCTCGGAGCCACCGTAACTTCTCCTCCAGTTTCTTGGCAAAGAATAAGTGCATTTCCTCAGTCTCCTTGTTATGAAGTTTGAAGGCATTCTTCATGCTGACATTGAAGTCATCGTCTCTCCCGTCTTCTATATCCACCACTTCATATTTATCCATGTCTATGCGACCCTTATAATACAGAATATCTCTTCGTATCAGATCCTATGGAGAGAAAAGGAGAGATGGGTTGGTCGTAAGATACTTACAGAGCCTGGACTCAGCAGGGAAGGCTGAAGAAAAGAAAGAAATAACGGTGAAACCTGGATTCTTCAAGCCTCGTCTGCTGCGGATACATTTGCTGCTGGCTAAAGAGGTAGAGTAGATCATAGGTAGCTTAATTTTTTTCCTTTTCCCTCCTTGATTTTCTGAACCTTTGCAACCAAACTCGTTTATCCTTATCTCCTAAGCTGATTATTCCTGCCCCTTGTTTTTCAGCAACAGCTCATTCTTCTACGTTGGGAAAAATCAAATAGTCTTTGTCAGAACTCATACCCTCCCCACATCTCTAGGTCTTTACAGGAACAGGTAAAAAAGAATGATCATCAGGAAACAGAACATTAACTACACAGTCATGAGGACCTAAGGTGACCCAAGTTACAAAGCACACGTATTTAAAAAAGCCAAATCCAGCAACACGCAATCAAGATTTCCTTCCTCTACCCACTCTCCAAGGCCAATATTCAGGTGTACTAAATTAATTTAACTTAAACACTTTCTGATTTTTGAGACTGCCCTAGAGATAAACGCTATGTCAGAGGATTCATTTAAGAGGAAGAATAAAATCAATGCGCAGCGTTTATTCACCCGAACGAGAATTTAGCAGCGATGTTTTTTAAAGATAAGCAGTAGGTATTATTTTAAACAAATCATTACTCTTGTAAAATAAATGGTACATCGTAGCTTTTTTAGCAACCTTGCTCGTGGATCTGCCAGATACTATTAACCAGGATGAGACAAGGCACTATCCAGAAGCCTGTAGCTGTTAAAACCTGGCTCCTTCCTCCGGAATGCTCTAAAGGGGGAAAAAAATCCACTAACTAATGTATTGTACAACTACCTTCCTCTAGTACATAGACTTTGAGTAGTGACGCTGTCCAAAACATAAGAAGAGAATATTTCAGACTGAATACGCAACAGAAAACCTTTTCTGTTTTCTCCTAACATGGAAAATTGCTTCTTCCCCTTCCCTCTGCGCCCAGCAAAGTGCCAAGAAAAGGCTGAAGGCAGCACACTGAGCTTCTTCAATTAAATCAGTGCTCTGCGCCGCGCTTAAATCTGAGTCAGAAATAGCATTTATCTTCACCACGTTCTCAAAAAACCTCAAAAGAACCTCACAGGAAAAAAACAAAACAGAAGCGCTCCTTAAGTGAGTTTTACCAGCAATCATTCTCCTTCCCGCTGCTGACGGAAACGTCCAAGACACGGCGCTGACCCGACCGAGATGGGCGAGGTGGGATCAAACGCGCTTTTCTAGGCAATAGTCACGATTATGGAGAGTTTTGTTCATAAAAGGATAAATAATCACAACCCTCCTTCTCTGAAAACACAACGCTCTTCTGCGCCTGAGCTTCTTATGCGTCTCTTCATCTCTCCGATTTTTTGATTGAGAAAACATCTCGAGCTATTTAAATACCTGATATATTACATATTATATATTATATATTTATTATGTAATAGCTGATGCTAAGGGAATGTTTTGGCATCCTCGTGCTGTCCTTCTGCTTCCCAAGGACAATCCCTCAGGTTCGGACGGTGCAGCAGAAGCGAAACTCTGCGGCGCGGTTTAGAGGCTCCCGCGTTTGGCGGGTGCTGCCGAGCGTGCGATGCGAAGAGAACGGTGTTGCCTAGGAGTTCCTGAGAGAGCAACCAGGAGAAAACGGAATCAGACAAGTGCTGCTGGAAATAAAATGGCCCCACCGAACGTTATCGTCGGCCA